AACCTTTGGATATAGTTTCTTATATCATAAAGTTATGTTCATATTTTTTCAACCTTTTTCTCTAAGTGTTTCAGACTATATAATTCTGTTGATCTGTTCTTAAATTCATTAAGTCTCCTATCACCTACAATCTGTAAGCAAAAACAGTCAATTTTGAAATTTTTAGGTCTAGAATTTATAATTTTTAGTTTTAGAATTTCCATTTGGTTCTTTATTTATATCTTCAAATTTTCTGCTAAATGTCTTATTTGTTTATTCATTACAAATATGAATTCCTTTACATATCTGAGCATAGATACAAAATCTACTTTTAAATCTTTGTATTTAATTCCAACATTTTTGTCATCTCAGGTGCAGTCTCTGTTATCTTTTCTCTTGAAAATGGGCCCTATATTACTATGCCTGTGTAAACTTAATTGTTAATTTTTTTGTGGTTGTAAATGGACAGTATACTTTTATTTGTTTATTTTTATGTAGTGCTAAGAATCGAACCCAGTGCCTCACATATGCTCGGGAAGTGCTCTGCCACTGAGCCACGACTCCAGCCCCAAGACCTGGGATTCTTAGCATAGTGATTTTGTTGTTGTCATTGATATTTTAGCAGTTAATTACTTGGTTAGTCTCAAACTCCAAACTCTGTCTCCTCAATGAGGGACAGCACTGAAGTCTCTTTTCAGTTTTTATTGCTATTGTTTGCTTTTACCCCAGCTGTGCATGTATATTTCACAGGATAGGGTATTCCTTTGTGTGTGTGTGTGTGTGTGTGTGTGTGTGTGTGTGGTGCTGGGGATTGAACCCAGGGCATTGTGTATGCAAGGCAATCACTCTCCCAATGGAGCTATATCCCCAGCCTCTCAGGGTATTCCTTTGTAATTGTTTTCCTCTCCTAGATTTTCTTGGTTCCTCATTGGCTCCCCTTCTGGTTCCTCAAGCCAGACACTGCTGATTTCTACAGAATTTTAGATGTCCATTTGAGGCCAAATGTGATGTGCCCTCAACCCTGTCCTGCCCCCCAACCCCAGAAAAAAAATGAGAAATTGACTAGTATGATCCCTTCTTCCTAATGTTGACTGTACTTTCTCTATGTCTTTGTTCAGCAGTGCCTTTTGAATAATTATTTTGGATAATTAATAGATTTTGTCTGAAGTTAGCAAATGTGATCGCTAAGTGTGCTGGTCCAAAAGAAGCTATTCTGTCCCTAAAGGAAGTATAACTGTCCCTAGACTACATTTCTCCAAATATACTCTGTGATTTCTGAAAGTCTCAGAGAAAGAAATCATACCAGCTACCCTCATGATCCCTTTTGCACCCAAAGAACTGATCAGCTACCCCCTCATATACTCCTTCCACCCATTCCTGCACCAACAGAATCTCCAACGTTCTGGCCTTCAAGGCCCAAGTCCTCTTTGATCATCCACAGCATCCTGGCTGTACTTACCCTGTAGTATTAATTATAATCTGCCTCATATTCTAGTGATTTATGTGTACTGGCCACAGTTTCTTTTCTAAATTAAGACTGTGTAAGAGTAGAGGAGACTGCCTCTTGCTCATCTTGGTACCCTCTACAGCACCTATGGAACTATGCCAGCTTTTATTACATTCTTGGTACATATTTATTGAGTGATCATGGAGAAGTGCCCTATGATATAAAAGGGCAGGATTCTGTTACCTTGCATGAGGCAACAAACAAATATCTAGGATGCTGGTTTATTTTTCTAAGTTTCCTTCTTGAAAGAAGAACCTTCCCTGATAGCATCTTCAACAAATGGTGCTGGGAAAACTGGAAATCCATATGCAACAAAATGAAACTGAATCCCTTTCTCTCGCCATGCACAAAAGTTAATTCAAAATGGATCAAGGAGCTTGATATCAAATCAGAGACACGGCGTCTGATAGAAGAGAAAGTTGGCTACGATCTACAGTCGGTGGGGTCGGGCTCCAAATTCCTCAATAGGACACCCATAGCACAAAAGTTAATAACTAGAATCAACAAATGGGACTTACTCAAACTAAAAAGTTTTTTCTCAGCAAAAGAAACAATAAGAGAGGTAAATAGAGAGCCTACATCCTGGGAACAAATCTTTACTCCTCACACTTCAGATAGAGCCCTAATATCCAGAGTATACAAAGAACTCAAACAATTAGACAATAAGAGAACAAACAACCCAATCAACAAATGGGCCAAGGACCTGAACAGACACTTCTCAGAGGAGGACATACAGTCAATCAACAAGTACATGAAAAAATGCTCAACATCTCTAGCTGTCAGAGAAATGCAAATCAAAACCACCCTAAGATACCATCTCACTCCAGTAAGATTGGCAGCCATTAGGAAGTCAAACAACAACAAGTGCTGGCGAGGATGTGGGGAAAAGGGTACACTTGTACATTGCTGGTGGGACTGCAAATTGGTGCAGCCAATTTGGAAAGCAGTATGGAGATTTCTTGGAAAGCTGGGAATGGAGCCACCATTTGACCCAGCTATTCCCCTTCTTGGTCTATTCCCTAAAGACCTAAAAAGAGCATGCTACAGGGACACTGCTACATCGATGTTCATAGCAGCACAGTTCACAATAGCAAGACTGTGGAACCAACCTAGATGCCCTTCAATAGACGAATGGATAAAAAAAAATGTGGCATTTATACACAATGGAGTATTACTGTGCATTAAAAAATGACAAAATCATAGAATTTACAGGGAAATGGATGGCATTAGAGCAGATTATGCTAAGTGAAGCTAGCCAATCCCTAAAAAACAAATGCCAAATGTCTTCTTTGATATAAGGAGAGTAACTAAGAACAGAGTAGGGACGAAGAGCAGGAGAAGAAGATTAACATTTAACAGGGATGAGAGGTGGGAGAGAGAAGGGAAATTGCATGGTAATGGAAGGAGACCCTCAGGGTTATACAGTGGAGGAGGTAGAGAGAGAGGAGGGGAGGGGAGGGGAGAGGTGGGGAGGGGGGAGGGTGGAGGATGGGAAAGGCAGCGGAGCACAACAGACACTAGTATGGCAATTTGTAAATCAATGGATGTGAAACTGATGTGATTCTGCAATCTGTGTATGGGGTGAAGGTGGGAGTTCATAACCCACTTGAATCAAAGTGTGGAATATGATATGTCAAGAAATTTGTAATGTTTTGAACAACCCACAATAAAAATTAAAAAAATAAAAAAAAAAAAAAGAAAGGGGGTAAGGGTCTAAGGTTGTGGCTCAGCAGTTAAGCGCTCAACTGGCACGTTCGAGGACCTGGGTTCGGTCCTCAACATCACATAAAAATAAAAATAAAATAAAGGCATTGTGTCCAACTGCAACTAAAAAATAAATATTAAAAAAAAAGAAAGGGGGTGAGGACTTGGCTTGTAGCTCAATGGTAGAGTACTTGCCTAGCACATGTGAAGCACTGGGTTCAATCCTCAGTACTGCATATAAATAAATAAAGGTATTGTGTCCATCTACAACTAAAAATATTTTTTTAAAGAAAATAAAAGGGGCAAGGGCAGGTATGGTGGCGCACACCTATAATCCCAGCTACTTGGGAGGCTGAGGCAGGAGGATTGCAAGTAGGAGGCCAACTTCAGCAACTAAATGAGACCCTGTCTCAAAATTAAAAATTTAAGGCTCAGGTTGTAGCTCACTGGTAGAGTGCCTCTGGATTCAGTCCATAGTACTGCAAAATAAATAAAAACAAAGCAGGGGAGATAGCATACAGAAATCCTACATCTTTTACAATGAAACCAACTGCCCTTACCTCTTCAGTATCTAGGACACTACCAGTGAAGTGTCTATCCCAGGAAAGAGAAAGAAAGATTTACCTCTGGAGGAAACTGAATAGCCAAAAGACTTAGCAGGTATTGCTAGTGGGGTTCTCTAATGGAAAAATCTGATTAGCCACCTTAGCACCTTGCAGTGAAGCCTAACCAATCATTAAAACCCTGCTTATACACACACAACTTCTAATCAGTTTTTTAATACCTAACTTATAAGTATGAATGGATGGCTAAGTTTTTTCCCCAGGGATTTAAGGAAAATTTTTAGGAAAAAAGACAAAGATACAGAAAAAAAAAAAAAAGGTCTTTGGAAAGAAGCAAAGAAAAAGACCACAGAAAGCAAAAGGAAAACATATACTCTCAAAAATGCCTAGAAAGAAGAAGAAATTGTATCCATAAAACAAACAAGGATACTGCGGTCAAGTGAATAACTAGGACATAAGAAAAAGCTCTGACTAGAGCTCTCAGTCAAAAATTCAGGAAAAGAACTAGAAGAGAATGTTGAAATTTTTGTAAAATAGAGCAAAAAAGATGGAAAATAGAAGAGAAAATAAAATTAGAGGATCAACATCTAACTACAAGGAGTTCCAAAGAATATGGGGAAAGAAAAGTAGGAAAGAATAAAAAAATCAAATGTCCTAGAATTGAAAGCTATTACTTTCTAAGTTGGCAGGATCCAATGAATGAGCTAGCACAAAGAATGGAAAAGAAAAATAAATTTTAAAAAACATTAAAAAGCTCCATTCCAAGATATTTTATATACATATATGTGTGTGTGTGTATATATATATTATAATCATGCAATATCAGGAAAACTAAAAATTTCAAGAGGAAAAAACAAGTCAAACATTAAGCGTCAAGAAACAAATTCACATCAAACTTTCCAAAAGCCATAATAGAAACTTGAAATAATAGTGTCTAGGGCTGGGGTTGTGGTTCAGCGATAGAACGTTCGCCTCGCACGTGTGAGACCCTGGGTTCGATCTTCAGCACCACATAAAAAATAAATAAGTGAAATAAAGGTATTGTGTCCAACTACAACTAAAAGATAAATATTTTAAAAAAATAGTGTCTAAAACATTTTAAGGGAACTTTATTATTAAATTACACATTCTGAGTCAAATGATTAATCAAATAAAACAAATATATTTTCAAAATTATAAAAAAAGATATTTTCAGACACGTGAGAACTCAAAAATTATATTCCCTTTGTTCGTTTTCCAGGATATACTTGAGGGCTTGCTTTCAGAGTGAGGAATGACAGTGTGGGCAGTACTGCTTCGGGTGGCTAAAACTCCAATAAAAACCTGCAGTCCTCTGGCATGAAGAACTAGAGAAGAGTTAGGGGCAACCACTCAGTTGGAAAGTTGGGGAATCCTAGAAAATGTGTTTCCAAATTCCCAGTAGATATTACTATAGGAAAATGCCTTTCATTTTGAACTGACTGGTGGAGTTATTAAGTGTGAATCCTAAAACATTTTCACTTTGAATGTAAAGTACATATTGCTTCATATAAGCTTATTTTCCTTATTAACATGTGCCTGGCTTCTCCTTTTTAAAAACTGAATGACTGATTTGCAGTCGTGGAGATTGAGCTCAAGACCTTGAGTGGCTTGGCAAGTGCTATACCTCTGAGCTATAACCCAGCCCTGCCTGACTTATTTTATTCAATATTTATGCTTCTGAGTTTCATCTATATTGATGTGTGTAAAAGTAGTTTGTTTATTGTTGATGTACTGTATTCTATTGTATGAAAATATCACAATTTGTTATCATTTTCCTGTTGATGAGCACATTCATCTGCAAGAGCTGCCACCACAATATACCACATACTGAATGGCTTAAACAACAGAACTTGATTTTCACACAGTTCCAGAGGCTAGAAGTCCAAGCTCAAGGTACAGCAGAAGTGGTTGCTCCTAAGGCCTCTCTCCTTTGCTTGCAGATGGCCATCATCTTGCTGTGTCCTCATATGGCCTTTCTACCATGTATGCATGTCTTTGCTCAAATTTCCTCTTCTTATAAGGACACAAGTTATATTAGGTTAGGGCCCATCCTAAAGACCTCATTTAGCCTTAATTAACTCTTTAAAAGATCAAATACAAGCACATTAGGATTAGGGCTTAAACTTGGGAATTTTGGGGGGATACAACACAATTCAATCCATAACAATGAGTATTTGCATAATAAACACTTTGGTGCTCCTGTGAATATTCTAGTACATCCCGTGTGGCAAACTTATGCATACACGTCTGTAGGGTATAAAGCAAGAAACAGAATTGCTGCTCATAGGATTCACCTATGTTCAGCTCAGTAGATACTGCCAAACAGTTTTCCAGAGTGGTTTCAGCAATTTATACTCTGACTGGCAGTGTACAATAAGTTCCACTTGTTCTATATCCTTGCCAACATCTAACATTTTCCATCTCTTTCCATTTTAGGATTTTGGTGGGTGTATTATAAATAACTTCAACATAAGTTGCCTCAAATTATTTTGAACATAGATGGGAGATAAAATACAAATATAATTTAATTGATAAAATGTTAATCCAGAAACATTTTCTTAACAAAATGTCTTTATACATAAAATTTGAAAATCCATTTTTCAAAACATCTAAGATCTCTTGACATTTTTTAGGTAGGAAGTTTAAAGAATACAACTTTATGGTAAACATTTCAGCCAGAGAAAATGCCTTTAACTCAAAACAGGAAAAGAAAAAATAGTACACCATTTATAATGAAGAAAAGCTGGAGTAACAGCAGTGAACCTGTATTCTAGGACCCTCTTGTAAGTCCGGTAGTGAAATCATTTTAAAAGATAACATTATCTCACATTAAAAAATCTACACTCATATATAATCATGACTGTCAAGCTCTAAAAAGGGACTAGGATCAGCTGGTTTAAACAAACAAACAAACAAAAAAATCAAGCATTGGGACATAAGACTTGAGGTTGGCAATAGGCCCATTCAGAAAACAAATGTGCAACAACAACAACAACAACAAAAAACCCAGGGATATAAATCATACAAAAATACAAATTGTGGTTAACATTAAACTCAGATTAAACACAACTGAAAAACATCCCAGGCTAACCAGCAAAACTGAGAAATTAGAGCTATCTTGTAATTAACAATGGATGTATGAAAAAGTCAGAGCATAAAGGTCACAATAACAGAGTTTTGGTTTTTTTTTTTCAGTTTAAAACAAAAAGGAACTAAATTCAGAGTTTTATTTTGGGGCTATAAGAATATAAATGTCACATTGAGTGGAAGCAAATATCCAGTTCAGCTTTGTATACTTCCATTTTAACCAAAAAGAGGTTTATCTTGAGAAAAAATGATCAGGGTAGCATCATAATGATCAGGAGAAAACAAAAGAAACTCAGATGCTATGAGTAGTACTCCCTTGTCTCTCTCGGAAGGGGAGGCAGAAAATGAGTAGGGATAAAGATTTAAGTGACTTCCTTTAATTCCCAGGAACCAGCTCAACTCTGGCTAATTACTCTTTAGTAGGACACTATGGTACAGTAGGCCTTTGTGCAGATAACATGCAAAAAGAGACTCTGTCCACAGGTAATCAGAAGTTGACCACATTAAGAAAATCAACATCATTTTTGAGGAGGAAGCAATGCCACTCTTTTCAAATGCTTCTTTATTTTTGTTCTTCATTTATTTTATTTTATTTATTTTTTGAGGAATAAGAAATAGCCAGAACAGAGTGCAGACTTCTTTTCTTTTGTTGTATAATGCACCCACCCATTTCACTGCTTCTCTCTCCTTTTGTTAAGCTCAGAAACTGGTGGAAAAGCAGGTTTCTATTTTCTGGTGAGCAGTACCACTGTGTTTTTAAGTCAGAAAAGCCCTGGAATCAACCACTGTTTAGTTGCCAAGAAATCTGGCATCAACTCCTACAGGAATCCTATGAGTACAGTACCCTAGATTAAAAAACTGATTGCTTTTGAGAGTATGAGAATCATGGTTTATTTTTCCATATTAAATCAATAAACAGAGAAGAAATCAGTCATTCTGATTTTGAGAAAAAAATTCTACAGCTGAAGTCAGGCATTCAACATAAAACTTAGACTTAAAGAAACAGAACATGTCAAAAAAGACCTTATTATTGCTGGATCATTTGAAATTCTCAACAAAAATTCCAAAACACTTGGAGGTTTCTCGAAGAGGGTCACACATGAATTTAAATGGAAATTAATTTCTTCAAGAACCTCCCACTTCATTAGGATTGACTCAAGGGAACAGAATGCTACCCACACTTTGCTCCTTTATCCCTTTCAAAAATCACAGCTTGTTAAGGTATCAACAAGTAGAATAGGGTTGGCTTTCCTTAGTCCCTCTCTCTCCATGTTCTCTATTCTAGAGAGCCAAAGTTGATTCGACAGAGAAATTTCCCCTTCCTCTTAGAGTTCTTTGCCAAACTTCCCTGGCAGAGAGCCTTCTCACTCTACTGACGCCTTGTGCATTCATGCTGTATGGCTCTTTGTCCTCATACCAAACATAATCCGGGGCTGGAGGCAGGTCTAAAATTAAGTTGGTTTCTTAATATAAGACAGACTTGGTTGTATTTCAAATCCTGTAGGTTTGTTTTACGTAACGAAATCAGTTGGTAGAATGAATTCTGTCCTAGTATTTATCTTCTCAATCACTGAAAGGCTTAATTGACTGACTGTTCAAAGATCCATTTCAGTCTCTAAATTTCCCACCCTTCTCAATCACCTGGAGAATAATTTGCCTGGTTCCATTAATCTTGACCTGTATATAATGCAAAAGGTGGGATCTAGCACATTTAGCTCTCAAATTCCAGGCCTTCACCCCCCTTCTAAGCCACAAACTCCATATAAAATGTCTGTCAACTCTGTGTATTGTATTTTCCCCAAAATAAAATAGTGACATAACATGTAGAAAAGCAACTTGACAGATTTTTAAAAAAATCTTTTTCACAAAATTTTGAAAAGGCTAGTTTAATAAAAAAGATTGTTTTAAAGCAATAAAGATAAAAGGTGTGGGGCCAGGGTTGTGGGTCAGTGGTAGATTGCTTGCCTACCATATATGAGGCACTGGGTTCAATCCTCAGCACCACATTAAAAAAATAAATTAATTAAAATAAAGGTATAAGGGCTGAGGTTGGGGCTCAGCAGTAGCACACTTGCCTGGCATGTGTGAGGCACCAGGTTCGATTCTTAGCACCATGTATAATAAATAAAGGTCTATCGACAACTTAAAAAAAATTAAATAAAAAATAAAGGTATAAAAAAAGAAAATGTGTAGGAGTGGAAAAGAAAGGGAAGGAAGTTTTGATAACTCAAAAAGGTAGTTACAGGTGTGTACCACCATGCCTGGCTTTTGAACCTTTATAAAGTATACACATATTATCTACTCACAGGCATATTGTATATATACACAGTACTATTTATGCTTTACTAGATGAGGGAAGTCGGACAGTCGTGCAATTGGATACTTCTGTCAATGTGTTTAGCTAAAAATTATAGACCAGGTCTATTCTGAGGCAGCAGGACTATGTCACTTGCTGGAAAGCAAATACTGTGAATGGTATTATCAGTAAAAAGTATCAGTAAAATGGTATTATCAGCAGAAAGTTCTTTGATTCATTGTACACAAATGGAGCACAATTTTTCACTTCTCTATACACAAAGTAGAGTTACACCATTTGTGCAATCATACCTGTTCCTAGGGTAATGATGTCCATTTCATTCCACTATCTTTCCTGCCCCCACGCCCTACTGTTGTACCACTTTCTAAGTGGTGTTCCAAATAGTTTCAAACACTTCAAGTTAGTTTTTAATTCAGTAGTCAATATGTTAATTAACAAATATTTTCAGTGTGCATCCAAATAATGTCAAATAGCACAATCTTATAGTTTTAACACTTCTAAAATGCTTTAAAAACCAGCTACCTGATTATGTCCTACAGGGTATAAAGCAAAAAGTTGTTGCTGATTATAATATACAGCTACAAATTTGTAATACTGGCTCACTCATTCATAGTATCCCTCATTCAAAATATCAAACTCATTCATGAAGTATCAATAGATCAGGGATGAAAGAGGGGACATTACTACCAACCTTATAGATATAAAAAGGATTATAGGGAATACAAATTGAATATCTCTAATTGGATTATGATGTTCAACTGGTAAAGCTGAACAAATATTCCAAACTTCAAAAATCTCCAAAACCTGAAATACTTCTGGTCCCAAGCATTTTGAGTAAGAGATATATAAAACTGTACTATGAACAGATGTATACCAACAAATTAGATAATCTAGATTAAATAGACTAA